GGCCAACACTGAGCACTTTTGAAAACCACACCTAAGAGCATACATGTAGTAAAATCTTAGACCTGGTCCACACTAGGAAATTAGGTTGGTATAACTACATTGCCCCAGGATTGTGAAAAATTCACATCCCTGAGCGATGCAGTTAAATTGACATAACCTTGGTGTAGACAGTGCTAGATCGATGGGAGAATTCTCCTGTCTCACGGAGCTGGAGTATCTATACCAACGGGAGAACCTCCTCTGTTGGCATAGGAAGTGTCTTCACTGAAGCACTACAGTGGAGCAACTGCAGCGGGGAAGCTGCGCCACTGCATTGTTTTAAGTATAGACAACTCCTTAGCTACATCCTCTTGTTACACATCCATTCATCTGAGATCATCACGCCTTGTCTGACGACTTATCATGATTGTTAGCCTATGGAATTCACCAAGAGAAACTTAATAATTATTTTTTGTTAATTTAGTTTTCAGGCAGACCCTAAGAAGCCCATTGGCGGCCACATCCTTGCTCATGCTTCAACTACAAGAATTAGTTTGCGGAAGGGAAGGGGGGAGTTGCGTATTGCCAAGATATATGACAGGTAAACACCTCTCTTTTGTGGGACAGGAGCTATGTTGGGTGGATGGTTAATGGCTGACATAGCTCATACTACTGGAACATGATAGCATCGTAGCTGGTTGCTGAGTTCCAAATGAATCCTGCTTCTGAATGATATCTTGAGAAAACAATGCACAAGAAAATTAAGTAGGAGACCTAGGTTGAAATTCTTTACTTGTGACCTAAGTCACAAGTAAAAGAAATTAGAGAGGTCTCATCATAATTGCCAGTAGACATTTGTGTCTATTAGAAAACTACTAAACAATTAGGTATAATTGGCAGTCTCTGCCCAGAGGAGGTCCAGGACTGGAACAATAAGAAGTTCTGTGGATCAGGATTTAAATCAGATCACCTCTGAAGGGGGCAGGTCAGGACTGAAGCCATGCCTACACTATGTATTTTGCTTGACACAAGTTTTGTCGGTGAACAGTCACCAAAGTTTGTATATTGGTTAGGCGTGTGCATACTTGGCTGCTTGTGCTGGTGCTGAACATACTCACCAGGAGTGCTCGTGTCAAAGTAAAGTGCAGTGCACCACCAGTAGGTATCGCTGTGTGTCTTGTGCCACCATCTGGGGCAATGACTTTTGGGATATTTTTGCAATGTTTTGTGGATAATAATGACTCACCCAGGGATCTCTGGGAGCTAAGGATCAAGTTCCCAGCATGCAACTTTCTCCATCCCATAATGCCATTCATATCCCATAATTTTCATGCTGTTTTTTAGAAATCCTACAGACCTCCATGGGACTTTTCAGTCTCTGTCATCTCTGACAGAAACACAGCGCCTGCAGAGCTCTGCACTATTCTCATGAACATTGCAAATACAGGACCACACAATTCTGGTGTCCCTGTGCTGGAGGGTGGGGCAAGCTTGGCACATAGATCCAGGAATGTGCCCTTTTGCATCCAAAAGTTCTGCAGTCACTGCTCACTATCCCAAACGTGCACTACAATGGGATCCAGTTAGTGCTTATTTCTCAGGCCCAGAAGCAGCATTCCACGATCTGCGGCTTCTCCATTTACAGCCACCAACAACCTTGAATTGTCTTTGGCTACATCCCTAAGCAAACTGTCCTAAAGGAAATCCTCATGTCCCCAGTTGTTGCGGTATTTCCAGAGGGTCTTCAAATACAGGAGAATTGTGCGGTCCTGAATTTGGGTGTTTTTCTGAAGCTATGAATTCTGTGGTGCTTAATGTGCATTTACAAGTACTGTTTGCTTTGACTGCCGTTATGAATTCTGCAATATTTGTTGTAAACTAATAAAGTTCCAAAAATAGAACTTACTGAGTGGGGAAAAAACCGTGCAGAAAATCAATGTGCAAATAAAACCATAGGCAATGTTATACACATTTTTTACATAACTTAATGGGGTGAAAATTTAAAATGAGAAAGGAGGTAAATATTTATGTCCATTTGAGTAAACAAATGTAGTCTGTTGTGGCTACATGTACACCAGCGTGGTTCTCACAGGTCAATGTATGTGAAGCTGTGGTTTTCCTTGCAGACCCCCAGCATGAACTGGTAGGCTAATGTCGCGCCCCATGATGCCATGTCATATGTTCGAGGGTCCAGGGAGCAGTGACCATGGAATTCTCCAAGCCTGCAAAGGGTGGAGAATCCAGGATTTTTGAACTTGTATGTCAACTAGGGTCGGCAGTGTTTGGCTTTGCTGCCTGAGAAGACCCATTATGTACTGGTGCATTTCCTGCTCCTTGTTCTATGGGGAATCTTGGGCCTTTCCCCTGTCCTCTCCATAGTGTTGGTGATATTGGCCCTCCAAGTCCCTTGCAACACTGGCTTGCAGGATCCTGCATAAGTGTATTCCCTAGTCCTCTTCTTCCTCCTCCTCCTCAGGGTCAGGCATTCTCCGGGCGTGGAGGGAGCACCCCTCAAGGCTGTCACACCAGAAGCGGCGATAAAAACAGGCAAATGTACCATTGGATTTACAGTCACAAGGGACAGGGAAAGATACATTTTCCAAACTCCCTTCCCTTATTGTGATAAACACTTTTAATAAGAAATGCTTATGGACACTTCAGCTTTGGAGTGCCTGGGCAAAACACTGCTCTCCAGCCCCACCTGTGGTAAGTAAGGTCCACCAAAGACAAAGAGGGAAGGATTTGCTGTTGTGTAAAGCTATAAAATGTTGGTACCTATTCGTTGGGTACGAATATAGGGTAATGGTACTGAACACTGGCACTATTTTTCACAGGCTGTAGTGATTTCTCACTTCTGAGGGTCACAAGCACATAGAGAACACAGCTGCTACTGGTGTCCCAAAGCCACCCAGGACCATATGCTGCTAGCCTGTTCACTGCAATGGTGTCAGCCAAACTCATCACAGAGTGGCATGGGAAAGCAGCCGACTGTGGAGGAAGAAATAAGGCAGCCAAGTCCCGGCTGCCCTAGCCCCAGCAGCACTGAAGAGGAGCAGCCTGCCTGGGCTGGGGCCAAGGGGGAAAGAGCAAGCAGGAGGGGGCTTCGGGGAGGAGTGTGGGCGGGGCCAAGCAAGGCTGTTTGGGGAGGCACAGCCTTCCCCAGCCTATTGGATGCGCCGCCCATGTTGCACAGCCTCTTCTCCTCACAGGCCCAGGAGATCCAGTGCCTACTGTCTATTCCAGGCAGAAGTACGTCTAGTGCATGGAGCTGGTGTAGTTGGTTGGGCGGTTGCACACAAGGGAGAGCTGCTAGGTTTGCTGTTCAAGCTGGGCAATCAGAAAATGGTATTTAAAAAAAAATACTCAGGGAGCTTTAAAAGGGGGGCTGGTTTCCAGTCTCTGTGACCCCCTGGCAGTGGTGCCGGGACCAGAGGGGGCCACACCCGCTCACCTTTTAACACGAGTGTAGTAGCCTCAGGCAGGCAGAGCAGGGGCTGCGCTTTGCGGCGGGGAGCTTATAAGCTGATCAACTCCCCTGCCGCAAAGCACAGCCCCTGCCAGTGGCGCCAGCCTCTTCCCAGTGGGGGGGCTGAGGTGAACTTTAGCCCCCGCTCACCACGGAGCCCTGGCCCCTGCTCCCACCCTTCCCCCTGAGGCCCTGGCCAGGCCGGAAGCTGGAACCCGGCTGTGCTAAGAGTCACCCAAGGAGCCAGGCTGCTGTGGGCAGCCTCAGATCCTCCACCTGCCCTAAGCAGCACGCCCTGGGGTCGGGGACATGATCTGGGGGCTGCTCTCAGGCACCCTGGCTCCCTGCCCAGGGCAGGTGGAGGGTCTGGAGCTCCCACAATATCCTGGGCTCTCTGGGCAGCGGGTCGCATAGGCTGGCCGCTGGCGAAGGCTGTGCCTCCCTAAACAGCCAGGCAAGGCTCTGCTCCCTGCATGCAGCCGTGCCGCAGCTCCAGTCCTGCTCCAGCCCCCCAGGGCTCCAGCTGGGGCTAGGAAGGCTGCGGCCGCGCCATCCCGCGCTCTGGAACTGGGGCCGTGTGCCTCTGGAGCTGGGGAGGTTGGGGCCACCCACCCTCCTGTGCTCCGGGGTTGGGGGGACTGCGGCTGCATGCCGCCCGCCCTCCTGGCACTCCGAGGCTGGGGGGCTAGCCCGGGGCAAGACTGGGCTGGTTGCTGCGGGCGGTGAGGGGGTGCTCTGGATTCTGGCGGGGGTGGAATGGGTGGGGCCTCAGGTGGAAAGGGCAGGGGCTGTAGGCTACCCTCCCCCAGCTGTGGTTCATGCGCCGCCCATGCTGGGTAGCTCTTATCACTGCCTGGATCTGGCTGGCCAGGGGTCGGGATCTCAGGGGAAGAGGAGGAGCAGGGGCGGAGCCACAGTATCAGTGGCCCCCCCACTTCTATACAGGTTCCAGAGCTGCTTCTTCCTGTACAGTGGAACTTACAGTTGTGACTAGAGCAGTCACTGTTGCAGGGAATGGGGCATTGCGGGACAGCTGCTCTAGACTGTTAGGGTTGACATAGGTCATGAAGTGTCTATATTAGCGCTGTGTTGACCTCAGTAGGTCAACCCACGGCTCTGTGCCATTTGGGGAGGTGATTTTACTGCATTGCCGTAACAAGTAGCTTATGTGAGCTGGAGATAAATTTGAGTTAACACAAGCACTAATAGGTTGATGCAAGGTGACTTACGTTGACCTAGCTTTGTAGTGTAGACCAAGCCTTAGTTGCATTGGCAGAGCTGTGTAGAGATTCAAGGTGGTGATGTGGCAAACCTAGGGAATGGAGGGAAAGCTTCCAGAGCCAAAACTGTTTGGTTCTGCCACATCTCTTAAAAAAAATTGGAAACCACTCCAAACACGAAATCTAAACAAAAATATATGCACTTGTGTGTGCAATTCACTCCGGTCTTTATTTTTTAAATGTTTAAAAGAAAATTAAATGGTGAATAGATTTGCTGTTTATCCTCTGCACAGGGGTGGATTTCGCACTTTTTGGTAATAAATCCTGATGGACAATTTCTATAATTTACAACTAAGAATATGAGTTTTGAGGTCTTCTACCTAGTTTGAATTGATAAAATCTTGGATTCTGCATCATGACTACATTTTACACAGAGAACAGCCATTTTCTTGCTTCTTTCTTTTCCCAGCCCTGAGATGCCTGAAAATGAAGCTACGTTTGCAATAACTGCTGGAGGGATTGGGGATGCCAAAGAGTAGATGGAAAACTGATGCAAATCTCCATTTGAAAACAGCCCATGCACCTCAGATGAAGCCATGGTATCCAAAGTCTGACTCCTTGGTTACTTAGTGTTTTTCATGCACAGTTTGGAAAGTTTAGAATTAGAAGAATGCTGGGAAGAGCTTTTTAGGTATCATATTTCAAAAATCTTAACAGTTCCTGGTTCACCTTAGTGCTATTTTAAAATGATCTTTCAAGCAGCCAGAAGTTGAAAAAGCACAGAAATGTGACTTATTCAAGGAATACCTTCCTTGTGGTTCAGGAGAAGCAAAGCTGTTTTGTCATATGGGCTTAATGTGCACTTTTTATAATTTCTTGGGAAAGGAATGTCTGGAATAGAATATAATGGCATGGAATGGAACAGCATTGAAACACAGTTTTTAAAAAATAATGAGTAACTAGTAGACAGAGGGAAAGTGCAGTGAAAGAGAGATAAGAATAGGTGAACTTGCTAATGTTTCATTGACAGTAGAGGAATGATAGTTGCTTGAAAAGATTTTTAGAAATCTTGATTAGATTATTTATTTGTTTTTAAAGTGCCTGTATTTCTGTTTTGGAATATTTAAAGCTGTTGTCTATTTTTTATATCTATGAAAAATGCTAAATTAAAACATCTCTCTTCTTTATGCTTGTGTGCAATACAGCCAACACATGGTTTGAGTGAAACCCTGGTTCTGTGAGTAGTCTCGCTGATTTTGTTGTGAAAATTTGCATGAGTAAACTAATGAGATATAGCCTAACATTATACTACTTCAAATATTTTTTAAAAATAAAGAAACACTATATGTTTAACACTTGGGGGAGGGGCAGAGTCTTCAATTTTTCGTCTTACTTCAGCTGTTATCTATGAGAATCCCAGGCTGCAGAGATCCTCCCTGCAACTGAGGAAAGCCGGATGGGGTGGGACTAACTGGTGCCTGACAACGCTATTAAGATTGGTCAATGAGACAAAAGCAACACAGTATGCTCCCTTCTTCTCCACTTGCCCTAAGCCAGTGGTTTCCAAACTTTTTCAGAGTAAAGAACATTTTAATAAGCAAGATTATCTTGTGGACCACCTCTCTTCCCATTCACAATCACATAATATCCCTGTGGCAATAACAGCAATTGCTCTCTTAGAAAATATTAGGAAGGTATATATTTTTACCACCTTTCAATACAATACAAAGAAGAGACTCAGCACCAGGTGACAAGTTAGTGATAACAAATCTCATGAAACACAAGATAGAAGACTTCATGGAGCCTATGGGACACCTCCTTGAGCACAAAGCTGCAGAGAGTCCACTCTAGACAATCTCTCTCTTAAAATGTGGACCAAAACAGGAAAAAATTTGAGAGCCACTAGATTACAGGGTTTGGTCCTGTGTTTGGATCAAAGGTTGGCAAAATATAAGCTCTTGATATCCACATGAAACTCTAGTGATCAGCCTAATTAAATGTATCTGTTAAAGTATAAACTTAAATGCAAAACAGTCAATTCATTTATAGTGCATAAACAAGCAATGAAAGATGCTTCAGTACATGAGAAAATAATATTTTCTCACAGTCTCATGGATGGCCCACAAAGAACACACATCAACACATTCTTCTAAGAGGAAATAGACAAAATATGATATGACCTTCCCCCTCCCCTTGGCTTGCATTCTCTTCCTTCCTCCCCTCCTACTACTCTCTCCTGCTTCTTCCCTGTGAGGGATGCAGAAGTTTCTTGTTCACTTTCCTCCTCTAACTTCTCCAGTTGCCCTAGTGACTGCATCCAGTCACATTTTCTGATCTTCCTCATGCCCATACTCATCTCCTCCCTTACTCTTAACTTCTTGCTCTCCTCTGGCTTTTTCCTCTCACAATACTAACACGCTTCAGTCTCTTCCATCTTAAACAAACCCACCCTTGACCCAACTTACCTCTCCAACTACTGCCCCACTTCCCTCCTGTGACCCAGTGTGCCTAGGCTAGCCCTCACTGAAAATGCCAAGATCAGGGCAGGCTGCAAAAAAGAGAGCAGATTCTCCCAAAACTGGTGGTTAACACTGAAGTTAGACCCACAACCAGTCAAAAATTGTGCTCCTGATCCCCCATACTGGTTATCAAGAAGCTGAAAAAAGAAATCACACGGCCCCCTTTATTGCATTCCAGTTCTCTGGCTCCCAATTAGCACATAGGTCCAGTAAGGTGAGGAGTTATTTAAAAACTCTGCTCACTATACAAAATGTTCTTCTGAACCCCACAGGGTTCACATTGCCAGGTCAATATTAGTTTGGATCTTACCCAAAATACCACGCTGCCAGCCAATCTTTTAGTATCTAAAACTAAAGGTTTGTTAGAAAAGAAAAGGAAAGAACAAGAAGAGAGTTGTTAAATGGTAAAGCAATCAGATACACATATGTCTCCAGATCCATATATCCATTTCTTAGCAGTATTGGTGAGTTTGCTGACTTGAAAGTCTCTCTGGAACACATCCAAAGCTTGGATGGGTCATTCTGTCCTTTGTTCAGAGCTTCAGTTTGTAGAGAAGTTACTCCAGAGGAAAGAAGCAGGATTGAAAACAAAATGGAGAATGATGCAGCTGCCTTTTCATATCTTTTGCCACGTGGCTTGTACATCCTTTGTCCCAAACACAAGCTTCACAGCACATGGCATGGAAAAGCCTTAGAGTTCTCTGTTCACAGGCATGCCCCACAAGTCTTGCTGATTCATAAGGTGAAGCCTCTGGCTTCCTTCAATGGATTCATTGTCACTGATTGCCCTTGATGGGCTTTGGAACAGGATAGGCAGTGCTGATGCATTTCTGTCTGGGGGTGTCACCCAGATACACAGCACAAGTTTGAAATACAAATATACCACACATATTTATAATTTACAATACAAAGATGATACAAACATATAAAAAAGATTATCATACTTGGTAAATCATAACATTTTCACTGATACCTTACATGGTGTGACGGATTGGATCACAGAAACCCCCTTGAGAGCTGCCACTTGATGTGCCAAGACTACCTCTGTTCCTGATTTCCCTGACAGCTCAGGACTCCAGCACCCTGTCTTGCTGAGCCAGACACTCCCGTCTGCTCCAACAAAGACCCAGGGTCTGAATTACTTGCCCCAAAGCTGCAGGTTTACCTGAAAACAGCTCACAGAAGTGTGCTTGTCTTTAACATTCAGATGCCCAACTCCCAATGGGGTCTAAACCCAAATAAATCCGTTTTATCCTGTATAAAGCTTATGCAGGTTAAACTCATAAATTGTTCGCCCTCTATAACACTGATAGAGAGATATGCACAGTTGTTTGCTCCCCCAGGTATTAATACATACTCTGAGTTAATTACTAAGTAAAAAGTAATTTTATTAACTACAGAAAGTAGGATTTAAGTGGTTCCAAGTAGTAACAGACAGAACAAAGTAAGTCACCAAGCAAAATAAAATAAAATGCGCAAATCTATGTCTAATCAAACACTGAATACAGATAAGATCCTCAGCAGTTCCAGAATGCTCCCTTTTACAGACTAATCTCCCTTTAGCCTGGGTCCAGCAATCACTCACACCCCTTTGTTCCAGTTTCTTCCAAGTATCCTGGGGGGTGGGGAGGCTCTCTCTTTAGCCAGCTGAAGACAGGGTGCTGGAGTCCTGAGCTGGCAGGGAAAGCAGGAACAGAGGTAGTCTTGGCACATCAGGTGGCAGCTCTCAAGGGGGTTTCTGTGATCCAACCTGTCACAGTGGCGTAGTTGGCAGGATCTGTGCACAGATTGCTTTGAGATACTGGTAGTGATTTTAAGTAAGTTTTAAGTGTGGTGGCTGGAGAACAGACAAAGTGGTTACTGGTTTGTTATTTTCTGTTTGCTTATTTCGGGTAAGGGAAGTAGGGACAGAAAAGGAAGCAAAATAAATAAGATTAAAGATCAGAAGAAGCTAGAACTATACAAGTTGCAAATTGCCCAGAAAGACTAAACACTGGGCTCTGGGAAAGTCTCTGTTAACTAAGAAGCCCCTGAGCTGAGTGCATCTCAGTTTCAATGAACTGCAGATGGGTGTGGCCCAACCTCTGTGTCTGTGCTGAAGCTGATTGGAATGGCTAACGTAGCAAGACAGGAGTGGAGGGGTGCCTGTTCTGGCAGAAGGGAGTTCTCTGTGGTATTCTCAGCTCATCGGGTGGCAGCTCCCAAGGGGGCTTCTGTGATCCAACCCGTCACACATGGTATATCTGGTAAGATTATAATATTAGTATCAATAATATCATAAAGTGTCTCCCATATTCCATACAGTGTCACACCTCCTTCCTTTCATCTCTAAGCTCATTGAGTGTGCTCTTTACAATTGGTGTCTGCAGTTCTTCTTCAAGTAGATGCAGATATGTATTCCACTTAGGTGTGTGTGCCCAGTGCACTGGAGCCAGAGACTTTTCCCTAGCAGTACCCATAGAAGGGTGGTACTTGCATCTAGTGACTGTGGCCCCTCCCTTGGCTATATCAGGTGGCGTCGCCCTGACGACTCTCCTCAGTTCCGTCTTACTACCTGTGGCTGGAGTTTGAGCTCCAAAGCAGACAGTGTGTGTAGGGATCGCTGTTAGGAATCGCTCCCCCACATGAAGGACCATGTTTGAACCCCGTCCCCACTGAAGGCATCACTGAGGGGGAAACTACTAGAACTAACACACACTAATCCACTAACACTAATACTAATTGCAAGGTTGTGAGGTTACATAGATCATCCTCAAGCTCAAAGCAGATTGGGCCAAACTTATCTTCATAGCCCTGGCATGACCGAGACAGTACTGGTTCTCCGACCTTCTTGTGCTATTGATTCAGCCTCCCATACCATTTCCTCCCCATCTCAACCTGCTTACTCAGAACCACGACCGCATTCGCCATGCCGCACTCAACTCCCTGCACCTCATGGCGTGGCTGCTGCACAGTTTAATGAAGAAGGGCATTGCTCAGCAGCTGTCCAACAAGTCCTACTCAACAGTAGGAAGTCCTCTACCAGGATGGCCTACTTAGCGAAGTGGAAAAGGTTTTCAGTGTGGTCCTTGGCCCGTAGGAGCCAACCAACTCGGACTTCCATTCAGGATACCTTCAGATATCTGGACTTGCACTCAGGTCACTGAGGGTGCATCTGACTGCAGTATCATCCCCCTATTTGGGGGGAGGGGGGGAAATCGGTCTTTGCCAATGCTATGGTAACGAGATTTCTAAAATGGTTTCTCCATTTATACTCTGTGGTCCAAGAACTTTTATGGGACCTAAACACGGTTTCGTTGGCCCTAATGGGCCCTCCATTCGAGCCCCTAGTGCCCTGTAGTGTCCACTGCCCCTCTTGTGTCAGAAAACAGTGTTCTTGGTAGCCATTATGTCTGCAAGAAGGGTGTTTGAATTGCAGACTCTCATGGCAGGGCCTCCTTACACACAGTCCTCCAAAGTATATAACTTTATAACTACACACAAAGTTTTTATCCAGAGTGGTCTGTCAATTTCATCTGAACCAGGTGGTGTATTTAACTGTGTTTTTCCCTAAGCCACATTCATCCCCTGAGAAACAGCACCTCGAAACTTTGGATGTCAGGCAATATCTAGCCCTATATCTGGATAGGATTGAACTGTTTCATGTTTTGCCTCGTCTGTTCATGTCTTATGCAGACCGCATGAAGGGACAAGTGGTCTCTGCACATACCATCTCTAGATGGATAATATCCTGTATCAAGACTGCATATGAGATAGCTTCGGCTATGCCTCTTCAGTGGATATGATCTCA